CAAATATAACTAGTGAGATGCCCCAATGTCAAGTAATAAAACAATAACTAGTATATCAGTAATTATCAATAATGAGGAATTAATGATCAAATTCGTCTTCATTTTGCACAAACCCTTTCATTGCTAATGCTCTATCAAAATGTCCTCCTTTGCTCTTACAAACATTAATCCCATTGTCAAATTCTCCATGATAAAAAGTCTCAACACATTTCTGGAACTCATCCATAACCAATTGATCCAATTGAATGTTTGCATCCTTATAAAATTAGCAACGATTCAAAAAATATGCAGTTAAATGCAATGCACTATCTAACCTATCTTTCATAATTTCATTAACAATATCAAGAATAGATTGATAGTTTCTCTCCAAATACCCATTGATGGTTTATCCCCATCTGCAAGCCGAAGAGCATTCACTAAAGGACCATTAATGCTTACACACAAGGTTACAAAACTCCAAAAGCTTGAACTCATCATGGGTGTTAAGGCAAGTTTACCAAGGTCTGCTATTAAATGCTTGCACGCATCCCGTGGCGGGGCCACTTTAGTGCAAAAGTGTTCACTTGAACACCTAGTTTTTTGCAAAAAGTGTTAGTAAACATGTATAATTTTAGTTTAATTATTTATTGTCTTTTTAAATTTTAGTTTTAGAAAAAAATGAACACCCAGAGTTTAAATGCTAGATCCGCCACTGCACGCATCCCATTCATCACTACCAAACATTGATTTCAGTTAAATTTTCTTTCCAATAAGCTCTGCAAAGTTGAAAACATGTTGCAAACCTTGTGATTATCGGTCTCACAATATCTATTTTCTTGGTTAAAGCTCTCATCATAACTAAGGTCTTGTGATGAGCATATATAAAGACAGTGAGAACCTTAGCTTGATGTATGGGTTTCTTAAATCTGGTTAATTTTGAAATATCTTCAAGAATTAGATCAGTTATGTGAGCTGCGCATCCAGACCAAAATATATTTGGCCTATTTTTCCTCAAAAACTTTTTCGTGAAAACATTGTTTGTAGCATTATCAGTTACTACCTGAACAACATTTTCATGGCCAACTTGCTCCATGCATCTATTGACATATTCAAATATGAATTCACAAGTGTGAGATTCAATTGATTCATCTCGGGATGAAATAAGACATATACCTAATACCTTCCTTAGAATTGACACACAAATTCAACATGCTCCTTTTCTTCTCATAATTCCATTCATCAGCTTTACAGAACAACCACTTCACGCCCATTCTTCTTCATGACTCTTCACTAATTCTTTATTTCTCTCAACTTCTTCTTTCAGTAGTGTCTCCCTCAACTGATATTGAGTTGGAGGACTCCAATCGGGTCCAAACTGACCTACAGCCTCACAGAATAGCTAGAAATTGTCATTAGACTCATTACCAATCGTGTTGAAAGCTATATCAGATTTAGATACCCATATTGCACAATATTGGTGCACAAAATGTGTTCTCTCCTTAAAGGGTACATCAAAAATAGTTTGTTGCTTTTTGAAGAACCAAAAGAAGCTTCAGGATTGATATTACTTGCAAACTTGTCCATTGGACCAAGAAAATTAGGATCCTTGATACATTCAAGTTGCTCTTGTAAATCATCTTCCACCATCTGTTGGTCAATATTCACTTCGGCTCGAAGCAAAACTTCTTCATTCATTTCTCATTTTCCTTTTCTTCTGCTTTGATTGCATAGTGGCATAGCAACATTTTTCTTGATCATCTTTTGTTGACTACGGACAGGAAGACACATTTTCAGAGATACGTGCAACGTGCTATTTCAATCTTTATACCCCTCCCGACATTGTATTTAAACACTATTTGCATTATCTTACTCGGCCTGTATTTTTAGCATCACATAACATCCCAAATCCCCATCCAACATCTATCACCGGAGTTACATTTGGACAAGGAAGAAACAACATTAGAAGAGGTATGAAAGTAATGAAACTGTGGAGCAGAGGCACTAGAAGACTCCATATCTAATAATGAAACAAATCAATTACTAAAATCATAAAATCAATATATAGACAAAATGACCAATAAAGCAAAAACCAACCAAGTAGTTTTTTTTTACTTTCATCTTTCACTATTTTTTTATATCAATTTATGAATAACTTAGCAAGTATTCAGGTAACAGAAAAGTGTGGGACTTTGAGTGAGTTTTATTAAATTATAAAAGAAATTAAAGTTGACAGCTTAAGTTTGAATAAACTGGTTTCAGACGTTTAGTAGGTTTAATTCAATTAACTTTAACAGTTTAACTTATACTAATCCTAATAACCTATAAACATCATCTCCATTTAGAAATAATTAACTTAATTAGCTTGATAACTTATGAGTATTGCCAGAATAGTTCATCTATCCAAATCGCAACATAAAGAAGTTAAAAATATGGTTTATATTTCTTTTAGGACATTTTTCAAACACCTACCTTACACAGTTCAAACATTGAGTTTCTTACATTTACTTCTAACTTTCTATAAATCATTCACAATTTCACACTCATTCATATGTATAAACATTCATGTTTATTTGTACATATATTTCGTATTTTTCGGGTTGTAAACAACAACCCATATTTTGAGTTTCCTAAACAGTTGAAAGTTGTGAAAACCTGAATAATGAGTGAAGAGATTGCCTGCAAAAAAGTGTTGGCTGGTGCGGGTGGTGCCTGGGCAGTGGAGATCTTGAAACTTGAAACATGCTGATAGGAGATCGTTAGTTGAGGCTAGAGAGTAGAGACTTGAGAGAAGATGTGAAGGTGGAGAGAGACGGGAGGAAAAGAAGTCTTTGTAGTGATAGAACTTCTGGAAAACAAAATGGGCGGGCGCGCGGGTGAAAATTTTAAATCTATATATTCTCATGCCTTCTAGTTAAGAGTTTTTTTACAAAATAAAAGATATTTTTTGAGATGTTGCCGTGGGTAACATCTAGGAGAAAGTCAGTGGCTTCTAACATTAATTAGTCACAACAGCTTGTTGTACCAAACGGAACTAAATCAAACAATCAGTTTTTTATCAAACAGCTACAACTTTTTTTTACCTTTTAAGACCTTTTTAGTCATTAAAAGGTAACAGTTTTTAAAAAACTTGTTGGGATATGTTATCCCGATCGGTTACTGTTCAGAAGCCCAACATATTATTCACATGCGGGTCCCAACCCACGAGGCCCATTTCGGCCCTTGCGGCCTGTTTCCGCCCACCCGTCCCATTAAGGCCCATTAGGTCAATCTTGTACCCCCTCCACTTTTATTTTCCTCCTATTTTCTATATATAAGAGGATTTCCCTCCATTTGAGGGATCTCCCCTCTTAGCCCCCTCCACTTCTTCTTCTCTCCCTTCTCTCTAGAATAGCTAGCTTAGGACTCCATTAATGGGAGCTCAAGACTTGTATATTGTGGATGGTGAGGAGAGCCTACTATAATGAGAAAGACAGTGACTTGGACATTAGCCCAAAAAGTCCTGTGGTTTTCTCCATTTTAGGTTTCCACGTTAAAAGTATCTTTTCAGCTAGTTGTACCCCAAACATACACTTAATCTCTTACTTTATATCAACCTTTATCAAATTCGGTTTTTCTTTTTGTGACTTTGTAACACTTTCAATGTAGTTTTTGAATTTGCAAATTTTATTTACTAAAAATAATTTGAGAGTGACAAGGATCTGTTTGCTGTATCATCAGTCAAACCTCGTAAATCGTAATCACACCAACATATTGGAGGATTAAGTACTTTTTCCATAAAAGAAAGGTCACCATTTAATACCAATTGTTTCTACAGTTACTCTAGTCCAAATGTGTGAACGCTGCATGTGTGCAAAAGAGATACATACACAAAAGAATTAACATGCACAACAATGTTTGATGTACCAACTCTTATACCCACCTTATACCACCATGTTTGTGGAGGTTTTTTTTCCTGTGAACCCGGTTCATAGACAATATTTTGTTTGTGCAAAATATTGTCTGTGAGCCGGGGTTCGCAGACAAAAAAAAAACACTTCACAAACATAGGTGGATACAAAAGTGGGTATAAGAATGGGTACAAAGATCATTTTTGAAGAATTAATGAATAGAAAATAATTCTCTCTCCTTCCATAACATAATAATTTTTGGTTACTTTTTAGTCACAATGAATATCTAGATTTAGAATATGGGCTTGAAATTATAAATAAAAAAACAACTAAATACTTATTACTATCTCTGTTCTTAAATAAGTGCAACATTGCAAATTTTACATTATTCACATGTTCTACTTTGACTACGTTTTATTTATTGATGTATTAATATATATTTTTGAAAAAAATATTACTAAATTTGTCTCATTGTAAATCTTCAAAATCTGATTTTTTTTAAATTTTTTTACTAATAGAGAGTTATATATATTAATGGACAAAGTTGTGCCTCGACAAACGTGAAATGTTGACTGTTGCATTTATTTAAGAACGGAAGTAGTATATATTACGAACAAAATATGAACAACTGAACGACATTTTTGTATCTATCACGCCAAGTGTGCATCATTAACACTTTGACATTGAAGATGCTCTAAATAGAAGGGAGTATAATAATCCAAACAAAGATGAATTACCTAAGATACCAACCATAAAAAATCGGTAAGTCGCTGGTAGGTGGCTTCAGCCTTCAGACAAAGGGCAATTCCAATTTGGATCAGGTAGGAAGAGGCCGTGGGGAATAATCAATAATGCTCTCCTCCAATCTATGGGCGCCACTCAGGGAAGCTCTGTTCCAGTACACCGGGCTGTCGCCGACGTCCTTCTTTACAATTGCGGCGCTGATGGTGGTGACTTACCAGCTCGTTTCTTACCTATTCGGCGGCGCCGATGACCACATGTTTGTCAAGAAGGCCGAGGAAGCTGCTGCTCGCCGCCGGCAGCCCGTCGTGTTGGGCGACATGACCGCAGGTGCCCTCTTAGCTTACAATGGGTCCGACCCGAAAAAGCCCTTACTCATGGCTATCAGAGGACAAATCTATGATGTCTCTACTTCCAGGTTGAAATCTCCTTCTTACTATTCATTCATTCATAGCACAAAGTCAAAAGAAAACCACAATTTCTCGTCAGTTTTTTTGAAGTAATCCTATAGGTTGGGCCTCACATGTTTTGATAGGATAGATGTTCTTTTTTGTAGATGACTGATAGGTTTTTATTTAATACTCCGTATTAATTACCTTCGTCCAACAAATTAAATTGAAATTTGTGTTAGATACTCCCTCCGTCCCAAAATGGTTGGCCAAATTTCCTTTTTTGGCCGTCCCAAAAAGGTTGGCCATTTCCATTTAAAGTAATAAATATGTGGCTAAAGTTAATTCTCTCTCCTCTGCACAAATTTCAACCACACAGTTTTTACTTTATTAATCCACGTGCAAGTCAACATTGGCCAACCATTTTGGGACGGAGGGAGTATGAAATAAGAAAAACAAAAGTTACGAGCTTGAAAGTTTCGCAGTAAAAAGATAAATGATTAGAATCACAAAATATTTACTGGAAAGTGTCAACTTTTTCCGAATAAACAGAAAAGAAAAGTTGGTCAAATCATGTAAGATACAAGGAGTATTGTGTAGAAGTACTCAGTATTAATTATATTTCTATTAAGCTTAACCATACCTGGCCTATTTAAAGATGTATGGACAATTAGGAGTCCGTTTATTGAAATTGGTTGACTTTGCTAAATTTGATGAGTTTATGCCTGAAGCGGTTGGATTGTTAAAGTTATATTCAAAATCTATTTTATGATTACAATAAAGATAAGAAATAATTACATATTTATGACTAGAATAAAGCTTGATTACAAAAATGTGACTAATGACTAAAGTAGTAATGTAATCATTGTAACTAATGTTCAATATTTTAACTTGAGTTATCATGACACCATATTGTAGTATTTTTAGTAAGTATTAGTCGTATTTGTGTAAATATGTTTTATTTTAGTAATATTTTAAAAAAAGAACTGAAGATAATACTCGGTATCATATAAGTGAATAGCTAAAATAGTCATATTCAAAAAATTTAGCCAAAACAGTAAATTTAAACTTTTTATTTTGATTATTATATAATTTAATGTGTGAAATTAAAAGGTGACATTTTGAATAAGAAAGTTGATTGATAAGGCTTAATATATAAAATTAAAAAGCATTTAATTGACTACGTGAGTAATATATGAAAACTTGCTAACTATCATTGAAAGAGTATCTCATATTTATATGTTCCAAATTGAGTTGCAAATTCGATTTGTTTGAGTCAAATCGAATTTAATTCACTTATGTAGGATATCAATTCTTAATTAAATTTTAATTTGATTTTTGCAAATTTATAGAGATTTTAATTTAGTTTGTAAATATGTAAGTTTTAATTATTAAAATTGAATTAGTTATCAATAGGCAGAATTTAACTTTAACATTGATCGATTAAAATGTGTGATTTTGCAAAACAATTCGGAAAGAAGGTGGTATTAAGTACAATTTCTAAATTAAAAAACGTATATACTCCCTCCGTCCCGCAAAATAGTTCCCGGTTTCCTTTTTGGGCCGTCCCAAAAAATAGTTCTCATTTCCCCTTTTGGAAAATTTTGTGTGACTCACATTTATTTACCTTTTTCTTACACAACCACAATCATACATTTCCATTTTATTCCCACTTTCTTAAACTCCGATCCAAGTCAATGCGGGGAACAATGGGACGGAGGGAGTATCACCTAACAAACCATTTTTATTGGATGGCGAGATTTGATGCTATTACTCATGTGATTATGATGAATTGATGATGCTTGTGATCTCGAGAGGTTATATAGGATCATAGGGGTTACAAACCCATATTTCCGATCTTTAATTATCTCTGACCACATGAATTTTTTTTATTATAAAATTTGATGTATGAAGTTGATGATTAGAACGAAATTCAGTTGACTCTATGAATAGTAACACTAAAGAACCAAATTGGGACAAACGTGTTACTCTCTATATTATTGAAGTGGGACGTATTTCTCTATTAAATCTTTTTATTGTAGACTTTTTCATAGAGTATTATGTAAGGGTAATGCTAGTGGAGTGATTCTTACCTAACAAATAGTTAATGATAATTTAGAGTTTTCCTCAACTTTGAAAGGGTTTTGGGAATCTTTTGTAACAATCGGAACAGTTGGGCTAACATAATCTAAAGTTTGAAGAGAAGTGTTCCACACATAAACTCCTTTCTATATTCTAAATACTATTACTATTACTAATACAATAAATCCTTTACTAAGTCACCTCATAACATTCAAAATGTCTACAATCAGTCCCATATTCTAGCATTTTCAACACTCTACATTATTTAATCCAAGAAAGAACTTGAGATTTTCATTGGTTGAATGTTTAGGATGTTCTATGGTCCGGGAGGGCCTTATGCAATGTTTGCTGGGAAGGATGCAAGCAGAGCCTTAGCTCAACTGTCATTTGACCCTAAGGAGATTAATGGGAACCTTGAAGGCCTGAGTGACGCTGAGCTGGAAATTCTGCTGGATTGGGAGGACAAATTCATGGATAAGTACCCTAAGGTGGGACAAATTGTCTCTGAGAAGAAGACAGTTGGTGAGTTGCCAGAGGGCAACAATGAAACAGACATGCATTTGGGAAGTAGTAGAATTAGAGATTAGGGAATGTAAAATGAATTCCAGTGCAGATAACAAAGAAGCCATCTGGTTGGGGAGCTTACACACCCCAGTCCCCAGATAGACAAGGCTGATATGGGTATTTCCGCAATTTTCAAATACATCCAGCAAGTAAGACCAATGATCCAACACATCGCGGCTTAAATAAGAGTAAAACATAACATATTTCTCCAAATTAGAGTGTCATTATTTTTATTTTTTTAATTCTTTTAATAGGACTATATGAGTTCCGTTTTGATAATAGAACATACCCTTATTTTTTAGATTTGTTCATATTTTAGTCATATTTTGATAAATCGGCCCACATTTATGCACAGGGAATTCTTAATAGAAAGCAAATCCAAAACAGATAATGAAAAGTACCAGCTGCATGATGCATGAACATATAAAACATTTATTTATATGTTGGTTTGTATTTTTATACGCAACCAGTGTGGGACGGCTTAATAGTTACTACTTAATTAGTAAAACAAAAACAGCGTATAGAACTAAAAGGAATAGCATTCCACACTAGTTCCACTTCCACGTTCCACCTGCACAACTTCGATCAGCTTTGGGCTTTGGACTTTAAAATCCTACCCGCAATAGATACTGGGCCGGATTTTACCAATTCTGTAAAGGGTCCTTCAAACAAAAGAATACCACGTGTTCTAGTTTTTTAACCAACTCAATAGAAAATGAAGAAGTCGTTACTCGTTACCAAATGCAATACGGAGTATTATTTACAGCCAAAAACAACTATGCAATACGTAGTATGGAGTATTATTTAAAACATTTACATAATAGTATTATGTAAATGTTTTATTATTGGGAAAAGTGTCAAATAAGACCATCTACTATTAAGAAAATGTCAATTAAGTGCACCAACTAAAATATCGTCCAATTAAACCCACCAACAAGTAAAAATGAGTCAAATTGTCTTTTTTGGAGGTATACTCCCGGTAACAGGTCAGGTCAAATTGTCTGATGTGGCATATTGTTTTTTTTTCTTTTTCTTCTTCTTACAGCTCCCTTCTTCTTCTTCTTCGTTGCGCCACCTCCTGTTAATTATCACGATTAGGCTAAGATAAACGATAAATTTAAAGCAAGAACACAAGAATTTACGTGGTTCACGCAATCGGAGTGATTACGCTAGTCCACGGCGAACGAGAGAGAGATGTATTATTATTCCAGTGTCTGGTATGTTTACAGATACTGATGGAGTATATGGCCCAGGAACCCCCGGCCCATAGACTCCTACTTCTCCTACACAAGTTCATTTGGCCCAGGGAACAACTCAGGCCCAAAATGCAGCGGCCCAAGCCTCAACGTAGCCCAGAATACGCACTGGGGTGCCTTCGTCCTCCTTGGACGAAGGCTCTAAATCTCACAGGGTAGCCTTCTCTGGCATAAGAGGCTACTGGGAGAAAACGGCGAAAAACGTGAGCCTTCGGCATTATCGAGCCCTCGGCATCAGAGAAGCCCCCGGCTAAACCATGCCTCCGGTCACACAGGGCTTTCGGCTACACAGGGATCCTTGGCTACATGGAGCCCTCGGCAACACAAGGAGCCCTCGGCCAAGCACACTCAATCATCGGAGATTCCTTTTAGAGACAGCCAACCACCGCATTTAATGCCACGTCACATCCGCCAACCGCATTCAATGCGGTAAACGTACCACTGCCGGTGCCAACCGGTTGATGTGACCCTTCGGCCGTTGGATTACTGACACGTGTCCTCTCATCGCATTTATTGCTGCTATAAATAGCAGCCCATTTCTCCTTGTAAGAGACAATCTACATCTCAACTCCACATCTCGAGTTCATTTAATAAAATCGACTCTCTCTCCTCCTATTTGCTCTGACTTCTCTCTAAGTTATTCCCGTAATAACCCCTCGGATAAGGTACCCCCCGGGTAGGCTATCCATCAGATACATTAGAGGTGTTTAAATAGGTTTAAGAAAACCTAAACAAGGATTAGAGCCGCAGGCCCAAAATTAAGCCCGTAATTAAAATTCCCGTATACCCGATCGAGTACAGCCCTTGTACCCGATCGGGTATGTTCTCCAGAACTCTGCCCGAGTAGTGTTTTTACACATACTCGACCGAGTATACCTCCATACTCGATCGAGTATAAACTCCAGGGTATAACCCGAGTAACCCTTACACGCATACTCGACCGAGTAATGATCAATACTCGATCGAGTGTAGAAACCAGGGAAATACTCGACCCATCAACACCTCATACCCGATCGGGTAACCCAACATACCCGGTCGGGTATATACTCCTGCATTCCAAACAAGGCTCCATCTTCAACAATCTCCCACTTGGAGGCTTGTTCAACAGTCATCTGCCATCCAAGAACATGTATCCTCTGCAACACTCCTGATCTCTATCTCTCGTTCACACCTTCCCATCAAGTATCTGGAAGGCCAGTTGAAGCCATGCATAGCTTCAACTTCTCCGTTGTCACCACCTTGGTAAGCATGTCTGCTGGATTCTTCGTACCAAGGATCTTCTTCAAGTTTATGATACTGTCTTCAATCAACTCTCGGATAAAATGGTATCGCATCTTGATGTGTTTCGTTCTGCTGTGAAACACTGGATTCTTCGCGAGGTGAATAGCACTCTGGTTGTCACAGTGCAGCCCGCAATCCCTCTGTTCCATGCCCAACTCCGAAAGAAAGTTCTTCAACCAGATCAACTCTTTGGCCGCTTCAGCAATGGCCGTATACTCTGCTTCTGTGGTCGAAAGAGCCACACTCTTTTGAAGTCTAGACATCCAACTGATCGTCGTGCCTCCAATTGTGAATATGTAACCCGTAGTGCTCTTCCCGGAATCACAACAGCCCCCCAAATCAGCATCAACAAATCCTTCTAGAATTACTCCATTCCTCCTGAAACAAAGAGCAGTTCCAGAAGTGCCTTTCAAGTAGCGTAGCAGCCACTTGACTCCTTCCCAATGTTCCTTCCCTGGAATCGACATGAACCTACTAACAACTCCCACTGCATGAGCAATGTCCGGCCTTGTTGACACCATTGCGTACATCAAGCTGCCAACGGCTGATGCATAAGGAACTTTAGCCATCTCATCTTTGTCTTCATTGGTCTTTGGAGACTGCTGCTTGGAGAGTTTCAGCTGACTCCCTAAAGGTGTACTCCTTGGCTTGGCATCCGTCATTCTGAACTTCTCAAGGACTTTTTGAATGCACTTCTGCTGTGAAAGCTTCAAAGTACCTACCACCTTGTCTCTGACTATGCTCATCCCAAGAATCTGTCTCGCCTCCCCTAAATCCTTCATCTCAAATTCTTCTGACAACTTCTTCTTGAGCTCGTTGATCTCCTGCATGTTTGATCCAGCCACCAACATGTCATCAACATACAAAAGAAGAATAATGTATGATGACTTGAATTTCTTCAAGTAACAGCAATGGTCCATCTTGCATCTAGTGTACCCATTCCGTTGCATGAAGCTATCAAACTTCAAGTACCACTGTCTAGGAGCTTGCTTCAGTCCGTATAGACTTTTCTTGAGTTTGCACACCAACTTTTCCTTACCACTCACTGAGAAACCTATCGGTTGAGCCATGTAAATGTCTTCTTCAAGGTTGCCATGAAGAAAAGCAGTCTTCACATCCAGCTGCTCCAAGTGTAAATTTTCAGCTGCAACGATACCAAGAATCAACCTGATAGTGGTCATCTTCACAACCGGGGAGAAGATGTCATTGTAGTCAACCCCCTTCTTCTGTTGGAACCCCTTGACAACTAGCCTGGCTTGTATCTTTTGCTCCCATCTGCTTCATCTTTGATTCTGAAAACCCACTTGTTCTCCAAAGCTTTCTTTCCCGGTGGTAACTTGACTAAGGACCAAGTTTGGTACTTGTCAAGTGAATCTAACTCATCTTCCATGGCCTTCTTCCACTGTATGGAATCTCTCACAGCCAACGCCTCTGAGTAAGATTCTGGCTCTCCATTCTCGGTCAGCAACAGATAATTTGCTGAAGGAGAATACCTGTTAGGAGGTCTCCTGATTCTGGTGGACTGTCTGATGTGTGGAGTAGCTGCCTCTGAACTCCCACTGTCTTCATCACTCCCACTATCTTGATACATTCCTGTATCTCCTGAGCTCCCACTGCTCCCTGAGTCTCCAGCCGTCTCATCACAACCGACCGGTTGTGCTATGTCATCTTCAGTCATCCCTTCAAACACCACTTGCTGTTTGTTCTCTGGTTGCTTGCCTTTGCTTGTTCCTGCTGCAAGACCATCTTTATAAAGGGCATTCTCGTTGAAGGTGACATTTCTACTTCTGATAACCTTCTTGCTTTGGTTGTCCCAGAACCTGTAGCCCATGTCATCCGACCCGTACCCAATAAAGATACACTTCTTTGCCTTTGCCTCAAGCTTGTCACTATCTGCATCTCTGACTTTGACATAAGAAATACAACCAAAAACTTTCAAGTGATTAAGAGATACCTCACGACCTTTCCATCCCTCTTCTGGAATTTTGAAACCAATGGGAGATGAGGGTCCTCTGTTGATCAAGTACGCTGCTGTGTTCACTGCATCGGCCCAGAACATCTTGGGAAGTCTTGCATGCAATCTCATGCTTCTGGCCCTCTCATTCAATGTTCTGTTCATCCTCTCTGCAACACCATTTTGTTGTGGTGTTTCTGGAACCGTCTTCAGCATTCTGATCCCTTGGTCAGCACAATACTCTACAAACTCTGTGCTACTGTACTCACCCCCATTATCACTCTTTAAACACTTAATCTTGAGATTTGTTTCATTCTCAACTGCAGCTTTGAACTTCTTGAAAGTGTTAAAGACATCAGATTTATTTTTAAGAAAATAAACCCATACCTTCCGTGTAGAGTCATCAATGAATGTAACATAGTAGCGGGAACCTCCAATTGAAGAGACCTTTGTAGGTCCATAGACATCTGAATGAATCAACTCCAGCCGCTCAGTCTTGGGTTGCTGTCCTGTCTTCACAAAGGTTACCCTCTTTTGTTTGCCTAGAACACATGGCTCACAAAAGCTCAACTTTGAATTCTTCAAATCTGGGATTTTGCCCTTTGAAGACAACATCTTTATTCCATTCTCACTTATGTGCCCAAGTCTTTGATGCCACAAAGTAGAGATCCCTGTATCTTCAACTGCTGCGTTTGCTCCATCTGTAGACACTTCAACCATGTACAGTGTACCATGCTTTTGTCCACGAGCAATGACCAGCTTTCCCTTTGTTACCTTCCATTGCTTGTTGCCAAAACTAACGTTATGGCCTTCCTCATCAAGCTGTCCTACTGAGATCAACATCTTCTTCAGGTCTGGAATATACCTGACATCTTTCAGCCTCCAGGTTGTACCCAAAGTGGTACTGAGATCAACATCCCCAAT